GCAGCACACACGGGGAGCAGCGCACACGGGGAGCAGCGCACACGGGGAGCAGCGCACACGGGGGGCAGGGCACACGGGGAGCAGCGCACATGGGGAGCAGTGCACTCGGGGAGCAGGGCACACGGGGGCAGGGCACTCGGGGGGCAGGGCACTCGGGGAGCAGGGCACTCGGGGAGCAGGGCACAGCAGCTCTGCCAGCAGGGAGGGGTTGAATGGATTCGGAGAACATCCCTACCTGTGAGTTCACGGCAGAGGCCTGCGTGCAGCACGGTGGGCAGGGGCAGCGGCAGGACACCCCACCCTACCCCGCCATCCTCTGCTCCGTCCCCACCCTCACAGTGACCGAGAATGGCCCTCGTGCCCCTCATGCGGGGGCACACATTTCTCTTGGGGTCAATCAGCCTGGAGCTGAAGGGAGTTCGGAGGTCACAGCTGCACCCCAGCAGTGCAATCCAAAGCCAGGCGCTTAGACTCTACCTCGGACCCCCCACCCCAGCAGGCACCAGAAGTGGCAGGGAAGCTAGAAACCACGTGCCCCCCTCCTCCCATGAGCCTCACCCCCAGGTACCAGGCAGAGCAGTCCCGTGATGGAATGGAGAAGCAGGCGCTTCCTGCAGAAACATCTACCAGCCCAGCGTGGTGCGGTCCTCCAGCCGTCCTGTTCCTGTCCATCCCCTCGGGGAACCTCCAGGAACAGTCCTCTGGGGGCAGCCCTCTTCCGGGGGACACTGTCAGCAGGCAAGGACCGGCGCCAAGCCCAGGGCTTCCTCTGCTGTAACTTGCCCTCTCCCCGGACCTCGCCTTCGCTGTCACACTTCTCCAGGTAGAAGCGGGCGTAGGACCAGAGCCTGGCGAGGCAGTCAGGGCAGAGCTGCAGACTCCCTTGGCATGGCCGTGCGTAGTCACACAGGCCCTGGCAGGAAGACTTGCCTGTGAACTGACTAACTGGACCCCAAAGGTGGGCAGCAAACGCTCAACAGCTCACGTAGGCTGCACGGAGCCTTCGCTTGGGTTTGGGCCTGACGTGGCCCAAAGGCCGTCCAATGGTCGGCATGGTCACTGAGCCCTGGCCAAGAGACACAGTCTGCCCTGAGCAGGAACCCTCCCTTGGGATCCTTGCTAATCTTTTCTTCAATAAACCTTTGCCATTTTGCTTTTCCCTCTTGTCTGTAGACTGATTCAACACCAACGAGACTGTGGACGCCTAGCTTGACCAAAGCAACGCCACCTTGACCTGGAGCTCACTTCCCTTCTGTGAGGTTGCTGGTTATTGTGTAAGGAAGCATTCTTTCTGTTAAACCGCAGTGTGATTGAGTAAGGGCCACGTCCTGTTTGACCCAGAAATACCCAGATGCTTGTCTGTGTGTGAATCCTGTTTTTGTACAAGTGTGCCTAGATCCTGTTTTTCTGTATTGTAAACCTTTAAAAAATTAACAACTGCTGTATTTATTTCTGGAAACTTTCTTGCCTTGAAGACACCACTTGATTGTGGTTTTTGGCTTTAAAACCCCCCTCGCAGCTCCCGAGTCTGCTGCGCCCCTGGCCGCTCAGTTAGGCTCCTCTATAATAAAGCTTCATTCCGATCTTTGAGCTTTACGTGGTGGACTCTTTGCTCTAGACCCCGCAACAAGATGAAGAACTCCATCCTAGCACTGTATGTTGTTTGCTGGAGGAGGGGAGGGGCAAGAGGAGTCAAACCCCCAGTGAGCAACACCTGCAGGGCCCGCTCACCACAGGGGCGCGCCACCACCCAGCGCTCTGGGCTCCCCACCCCACACCGGGGTCCCGACCAGGGCCTGGGCCCGCTCACCACAGGGGCGCGCCACCACCCAGCGCTCTGGGCTCCCCACCCCACACCGGGGTCCTGACCAGGGCCTGGGAAGGGTCCCCTACTTCCACCAAATGAAGGTGGCCACTTCTGTCCTCTGTCCTGCTCTAAAGTCCAGCCTCCTTCTCCAGCCAGCTCCGTGCCCGCCCTGTCCCGGCCTGGCCTCTAATTAGTATCAAAGGATCCGCCTCTCCCCTCCAAGCGAAGGGCTGGCCCGCGAGCCTCCAGAGACACGCGCAGCCTGCCTGACGCCGGCAGGACAACCCACCCGCGCCTGGCGGCAAACATGCCGACGCGGCCCAACGAACCCCACCTCCCCAGGCCTGCCGGCTGGTCATGAACCTCTGCCTCGCGCTAGGCCTCGTGGAAACCCAGCTCCTGCCCCAGCTCTCTGCACAGCCCCCACGCCCGCGGGAAGGCGGTGCCCCACGCTGATCTATCTCAATAAACAGCCCTCACCTGTGGAAGATGGCGTCTGGCGTGGCCTTCCTTTCTCCTCCATTTCCTAATCAGTTTGGCCAGAGGCCCTCTGTAAGAACAAGCAAGCCAAGCCTGCAGGAAGCTTCCTAGTGTGGCTAAGCTCTTATCTCTGTTCTTTCTTAGTTTCGATCCCCTTGTTCCTAATTGTCCTCTGCCTGCTTGGTGGTAAAGAATTCAGAATGTGATGCTCACAGGCTGCATCCCCAACCCCCCAGGCTCCCAGCCCCAGATGTTTCCCCCATGCAGCTGTACACCACCAGCAGAGCCTCAGCTGGCCGTACTTGTGCGCCTCCAAGAGGCGTCCCCTCCCGCCCTAATACCCAGAACCCCCACAGGCTCCCAGGAGGCTGTGCCAAAGCCAGTTCCGGGGCGAGCTCAGTCCAGCTCCCCAAAAGCAACTCAAAAGTTTTTTTTTTTTCCTTTTGTGGCCAACCTAACTCAGACACCAACAACAGAGGTCTTGGGACAGGAACTCTAAGGCAATAAACTCCTCAGGAGCCTAACAAAATACCAAAAATGACAAAATCCAGGTGACACCAGCAGCAGATACGTTTACTGTGAGGAGATCCTTTTCCTTTCAGGATGTCCTGCTGTCTTGGTACAAGTCGCACACGGAGACGCCGCAGCAGCGCTCCCTGCAGGAAGGCCGGCCAGCACCTCCCCAGGCCGCACCGTCAGCCGCTCACCAGCCAGGCCCCGGCCCTCCAGAGAGGCCAGGCCCGGGGCGGCCTAGGAGGGCGGCCGTGGGCTTCTGTGAAGAGAAGGAAACGTCTGACCCAGCATCAACTTTAGTCAGGACCCGTGGGCTCCACTGCAGACATAGCAAGTGGGGGAGAGCGGCCAGGGCAGGACGGGGGTCACCCAGCGCAGAGGGGTGGGGACGCGGCTCAGGACAGGATCTCAGGACGGGTGGGCCGGGCGCCCAGCCAGAGTGGGCCGCTTGACCAGGGTGGGAGGGGGAGGGTGCGGGCAAGGAAGGAAGCCACTGAAAGACACAAGGCCAGGGCCTGGAGCAGGTGGAAGGCGCTTCCGGAGGGGCTTTCCCGGGGGAGGCGCTTCCTGGATGGGCGGGGCTTCGGTGGGCGGAGCTTCCTCGGTGGGCGGGCCCTCCCTGTGAGTGGCGCCTGGGTAGGAGGGGCCTCCTCGGTGGACGGTCCCTGGGTGGGCGGAGCTTCCTCGGTGGGCGGCCCTGGGTGGGAGGGGCTTTCCCTGTGGGCGGTCCCTGGGTGGGAGCGGCTTCCGTGGCGGGCGGGCCGCCCTGGGGGCGTGGCCCTGCGCGCGCGGCTCGTGAGGGGTTCCCGCGCTCACCTCGCCTGGGCTGCCCTGGCCTTTCCCGCCTCCCGGTCAGGGCTTTCACGGCGGACACCTTCGTCCCTACCCGAAAACTTCCTCGCCGCCTCCATCCTCACGCAGACGCAAAAGCAGAAACCAAGGTCCGTCCGATCCGCACACCTGCACTCGCTCGTGAATGCGGCAGAGCCCCAGCGCCGGCGCATGCGCGGAACTGGGCGCGAGACGCAAGAGGCGGGGCGAGAGGAAGGGGCTGAGCCACCCGCCCGGCATAGCCTCGACGGTCACACTGCGCCTGCGCGACCACGCCCCTCTCCCGGCCGCCAGTGGGCTCGCAGGATCCGCCCCTGACGACTCAGGCCCCGCCCCCTGGAGACGAGTCGCTGGCTTTGCAGAGTGGCATCGGCGGGGTCGCGGCCCGGCCTGGGGGTGGCGGGCGGTGCCATGAAGCTCACTCGGAAGATGGTTCTGTCCCGGGCCAAGGCTTCGGAGCTGCACAACGTGCGGAAGCTGAACTGCTGGTGAGACCCGGGGCCCGGAGGGACGGGTCCGCCGGCGCCCGGCC